CTGTATCCGTGCAATTGCAAAAGGCACGATACATTTGTGAGGAATGCAAAACACAAATCTGCTTAGAAATTTTCCTCTCTGCGTTGATCTTTTTTGAAGAGTCAGAAGCTGAAATTGCACTTTGCACAACATTATGGCTGTTCATTATCCGTTCAAGCACCAATGGTTGGGAGGGTACCACCCCACTGGCCAAATCCCTTTAAGAAGTTTTGCTGTGGGCCGTATTAGGCCAGCAGCCTGTGTGTGCCTTATTCCTGGTTTAGGACTTTAAAGATAAAAACTAGATCTTTAAGCACTAGTGAGTTTCAATCAACTCTATGAACTTAGCTACCTGGTCTCTGCATTCTGAACACTTCCCCCTCCATCCCTTTCTCTTCCAGTCAAACCTGATGGGCCCTTACCTAGCACAAGTTCCATAAGGATCTATAGAGGAGTCAGCCCTCCCACAAGACCTACGGACATTTTAGGCTAGGAGCCTCCAATTCATCCTCTCAAACTGTTTTCTGTACCATATCAATTTACAGGCGAGCACAATAAAATAAAAAAAAGCCCACAGATGTCCCACTGCTTGCAAAATGGAACTGGGAGCTGTCTATTTGCCAGCATGTGGAAGCAGCTGGAAGGAATTGCTGGGCAGTGATTGCTCCGAACAATAATCCTATCATTCGGGCTTACTGTGATCAGGCTTGGAGAAAAATCAATCCAAAACTGAGATTGGATACAGCAATACAATATTTATGGCTTGAGCAGTTGAGTCAGGTGCTAACCAAGTAAAGTAAGGCTGAAGTTTTTTTCCCTTCCTCCCCACTTGTGGAAGGTTTGACTGCTTCTGCCCTCAAGTCACAAGAAGTTTTACTTGTGGATGTTACATTTTACCAATCAGGGGCTAGAGAACAGCATCATAAGGTCTTTGTTAGTGCTGTTTTCAGCTTGCCAGAGGAATGCTGATTTCTTGTCAGTTGCACTGCAGCCAAGAGAGCACAAAACCCCAAGACTCTGGGAGCCTAGTTTTGATGTTATTTCTCCATGAAAGCAAACCAGTGCATTAAGAATGGGGGCAACTCTTGGGCCCAAGAATTATCCCTCCATGCTCCTCCTGTATTGTGCATAGGACATATCATTCACTTGGAGCTGTACCTGTTTCATTGTACACAGGATCTTCCTGACCCCACAACCCACATATGCACCCCATTTCAAACCCTGGAAATGTCAGGACTGGGAGCAAGGTTGTAAGTAGCCAGGGAGCCAGTCAAGCAGGTGAGCAGGCCTGAGCTCAGGAAGACAGGGCAAAAATTAACAGGTATACATAAGCTATTGGAAGCCCAATGGCGCTTACTACCTTTTGGCTATCTTCACAACTGGCAACAAGTGCAATGATGATATCACAGCAGCACAAAGAGTGAGGCTCTTGGGTTCTGCTGCTGCAGTCACTGGTTTGAGACAGTGACTGGTTTGAGACAGTGACACCTTATCGGACGTGAAAGATTTGAAAGATCTCACAGGGAGATGAAGGATGGAGGAAAATTACTTTCATTCCTCATTCTCTATCCAACCTAATTTGAACCTCCTGGATTAAGAGACAGATCAGAACACAAATAATTATCCTTTGGATTTAGTACCTTTTAGTACCTTTCAGAATGTTGCAGTGCAATTCCAAGCTCCATCCCAACTTCAATGTACCAAAATATTTTTAATGCGTATTTTAGGATAGAATATATTTAGATAGATGATTGATTCTATTTAAATGCCTTTTTTGTAATTATTATTTTTTAAATAAAATTTTGTTTTAGAATCATAGAATTGCAGAGTTGGAAGTGACCCTGAGGGTCATCCAGTCTTTATTTATTTACATGTTTGTTTGTTTATTGGCATACTTTTAAAAAAAGAAACAAATCAGATTAATGCCGAAACAGGAAGGGATGTACTTAGAAATGTACACATGTGAAATGGGCATGGACCAAAAGCAAAATGACTAGATGATCCTTGACGTCGCCTCCAACTCTACAATTCTATGTTTCTATGGCCTCCTCATGCCTAACAGAATTAAACATCTTAAAATCTGCCATTCCACATGTGCTGTGGCAATGGAAGTGAGATGTGAGTGAGCTTCAGACTGACTCCTCCTAGATTTCAATAGGAAAAGTGCTCTACCCTGTTGTTTGGGTCACATCATCACAGCCCGGCTACAGTGAAGTTGCCACAATTTACCATTTGGGTGGTGTTTCATAAATGGTGTTTTGTTCCCCTATAAGAATGTAAGAAGAAAATGCTGGATCAAGCCAATGGCCCATCTAGTCCAGCATTCTGCTCTCAAATTGGCCAACCAGATGCCTATGAGAAGCCCATAAGCAGGACCTGAATGCAGAAGCATTCTGACAACCTTTGATTCTCAGCAACTGGTATTCAGAGGCATACGTCCTCTCTTAGCAGAGGAAGAACATGGCCATTGTGGCTCGCAGTTGTTGGCAGCCTACGAATTTGTCTAACGCTCTTTTAAAGCCACTGGGGTTGGTGGCCACCACTACCCCGCCACAGGAAATTCTCTAGTTTACAGATGTGATGTATGAAGCTTTCTTCTGTCCCAAATCATTCAACAAAATGTGGTCTTACCTGGGAACAATTTGCATTCCTCCGAGCCCACCATTTTTGAAACTCTTCTTGACCCCTCCAGTCTTGCAGATCGGGTGGACTGGAAATTCAAATTAATGCCCTTTCAAAGGTCAGTGCACCTCCGTGTAAGAGGCTCCCTGGGATTTTGCTTGCTCACTGCTTTACAAGGTACCTCTCACTTAATGTAAAGCCAGGGAATCTATTTTCCTCTGTCAAGTAGCGGAGAATGTATATCCCCACTTCAGCATCAGAAAGACAGTTTCGCCATATCAGCATCTCTGCTACTTGCTGCACCGCAAAGTGAGTCTCTCCACGCTGAACTCAGGTGCAGAGTGCCCTTCAGTTTGACATTTAGCATTTCATAAGCTTCTGCTTTAGGCAAAGGAACAAAGGGCGGATGATACAAAAGCTGGAAGGAGTGGGCTTCTCTCGTAGCATTTCATCCACAGCACACTGCCTAGCAACCAACTCACCAACGCCTCATGCAAAAGAAGCCATACAAGGAGAAGTAGCCGGTGGGGCAGCCATGCTGACCTGACCTCCCATTGCCAGCATCACTATGAATTGGAAGGAGAGCAAGAGGGGCAACGTGGCGAGGAGGTTGATGTGGTGCAGGTGCACCAGCAGAACCAATCCAGTGCTCCCCATGGTGCATTTGCTGCCACCTTGATCCTCCCACTTTTCCTCCCAGTAATTTGCAGTGATGCTGCCGATAGGAGACCCAGTAAGTACTGCTGCTCCACCCTCCCAACTCCTACTGCATACAAATCTGTCTCTGAGATCAGCAACAGAAGCCCTTCTCTGACTTCCTCTGTTATCAGAGGTTAGCTGGGCAGAGGGCCTTCTCTGTAGTGGCAGCTTAGCAAGTCTTTCCCCAGAGGAGGTAGCAACTAATCTGTAAATTTTTGTTTCTCATGTTTTTCAATATTAAGTTTAGATTGTCCCATTTATGCAAATGTATGAAGATGATGGTGTGTTTTTTAAAAGAAGAAGAAGAAGAAGAAGAAGAAGAAGAAAAGAGCCACATGGAAATTTGTAGAAATTTCCATGAAAATCCCTCTGAATATACATAACTTTATATGCACTTTTGTTCAGCATATGGATTATTGAAAGCAATGCTCACTAATTAGTCACATGTTGCTATGCATTCTTTATGGTGAAACTCAAAGCAGGGCAAATTTAGAAAGAGAGGAAAGTTTCAGTTTGCATATTGGATTGGGAAATGATGCAAATTTAGTAGATTCACTTTAAAATTTAAACTGAACAAATTTCTCCCCCATCTCTATCCTAGAGAAGATTATCTGGTGCCATCTCTACTGTCACTTCAGCTTAGCCCTGAGGCCACCCTACATTTCTAAGCTCGCCATTAAAAGAATGATGGCTTTTATACTGGCATTATTCTGTGATGCTGCTTTATTCTTCCATTTATTGGTTCATTGTTATTTTAAACCTATGGATCTGTAAGCCACTTGCGTTTAAAATGGAAAGATAACCCAGGGAAAAGGGTGAAGGCAGCCATTTACAAACAGGCATGAAAACAAATGGACACAATTCAATGTAAATATAGAACTACACAATGCTACTAAGCCATGATGGCTATGATCTGCTTTGACAATTGGAGGCAGAAATAATAATAATAATAATAATAATAATAATAATTTCTTTATACCCCACCCATCTGGCTGAGTTTCCCCAGCCACTCTGGGCGGCTCCCAATCAAGTGTTAAAAACAGTGTTAAATGTTTTTGAAAGCAGTTGCTGGAAATCACAGGAATCACTGAATCATAGAATTGTAGAGTTGGGAGGGTCATCTGGCCCAACCCCCTGCAATGCAGGTATATCAGCTAAAGCATCCATGAAGATTAGCCATCCACAGAAGCATAGAATTCTATGGAATAGGAGCAGAGAGTCCTGTTTGACTCAGATTCTGCTTGCAGGTTTCCCATAGGCAACTGATTGGCCAATGGGAAAACAGGATGTTGGACTAGATGGGCCATTGCCCCGATCCAGCAGGTTCTTCTTATGTTCTTAGGAGAGAGCAATCACTCATTTTATCAGAAGATTTATACCTCAAATTTCAATTGAATGATTCCCAATATGACTTTCAATGGGTTTGGAAAATACAACTACACCCATTACACAAAAGTCAGTGGCTCGTAGCTTGGGATAGGGAAGAAATTCAGTTCAATTCGCCTTTAAAAGCAAACCTACTTAATTCACTGGCTGAATCAATAGGGGGAGCAAAATCTGATCATCCTTTGAAATTCACACATCTGTGAATTTTGTAATGCAGTTCTACAGTCAAGTAGCATATGTAGAATCAACGAACTGGGGAGTTGGAAGGGATCAAAGGGTCACCCGGTCCAAGCCCCTGCAATGGAGGGATCTTTCACCCAAAGTGGGGCCCAAACCCCCAACCTTGAAATTAAGAGTCTCATGCTCTACCAACTGAGTTATTTGACTTAACTGAGCTATCCCATGTGCACACACACATACACAAACACCAGGGTGAAACGTATCATCTGTGTAAGCATGCTGCAAAATGCATTCCATTAGAGGAAAATGCTTGCAAAAACTTGTATTTTATGCAAAAAAATGAATATAAAAATATGGATATCAGGAGAAATTTGTGTGGGAATACTGATTATGTGGAAATGTAGAGAACTGAACTTATGATAGGTAAAATGATAAGCAGAGAGAAATTGAAATTGGCATGTTTTCCCAGTCCTAGTCTTGGTTCATGGATGTGGAACATGCTACAGATGTGGGTTCTGATGATATAAGCTATGCCTTCCAATGTGTTGGCTGTTGTGTCGTAGCAAGAAGACTTGTTTTTTTCTGTGTTGTGGCCACTCTTAGTCCCTTATACTTTCTCCTAAGTACATTAGAGGTGGAAAGGGGAACCAGGTCCCCAGAGAGACTGAGAAAGGAACCCCCAATGCAGCCATGCTGCTCCCCACAGCCCATGATAAAGCAGGCAACCCAGACAACATCACTAATACCCATCGCCTCAAAGGCAAGTGATTGAAGTCTTTCTTTCTAGGGCATCAATGTGTCTTCCTCATAGCACCAGACACTTAATGTTTCTCCATTTTCCGTGTCATCTCTTCGCTTTCAGTCCCCCCCTCCCCCGGTTCGATCTCTGGGGAGCGGGCCGGTTGGATTTATAGGGTTGTCCCAGTGACACACCGTCTCAGTAACTGCAGAATGGCAGTTGTAAAAAATCCCATTTGCCAACCTATTAGAATCCTATTAGCACTCCCGGCAGAGGAATAACCTGGGTCCTCTCCGTGGAATTAGAGAGGCTCACGGGTACTGGCGCCGCAGCTTTACGGCCCTCCCCCCCACACAACTCAAGAGATCAAACTGCTAGATATAAAGCCTTAGGCAATGAGTGTCCTTGGTCCATAAGCCCCATGACAAAATACTTTTGAAAAGAACAGGTTGGACTGACAGCGCAGCGGCGAAGCGACTTGAACACAGCTGTGCTGAGGGAATTAAACAGGCGGCTGGAGAGTTTGTTTGAGGCGCATTTCCAGAGGCGATGGAAAATCCAGCTCGGTTTTTGGGTACTCGTTGTTGCTGCTGCTGTTTCCTTTCAGTCAAATGAGGAAGATCTGCACCTTGCAATTTACAGAATCAAAGCCTCGGTATATTTAATCCAATTCTTCATCCTCTGTGTTTGTTGACCCAAGCCAAAAAAAATAATGTAAAAGAAGAAAAAAGGAGCCGGTCCTATCCAGGGGTTGTTCAAAACTAATTTCCTAGGTACATGGGGAAAGCATTTTCAAACACAAAAGCCTTCGCTTCTGTGGATTTGTCCAATCTTCTTTGAAAGCAAATCCAAATTTGTGGTCCTTGTTGCCTCCTGTGGGAGTGAGTTCCCTAGTTTAACTACGTGCTGTGTGAGGAAGGGCTTTTCTCCTGGCCCTGAATTTTGCTGCCTGGCACCGCTCCCTTAAAGCTGGGCCCCATCCTGCCCATGCATACTCAGTTCCCTCATCTATCAAACAGGTGCTTGGTGGGTAGGAGGAGAGAATGCAATTAGACAGGGGAGAGCTATCCCTTCTGTCAGTGTTTGTAAAAAAGAAAGCAAGGGTTCTGACCTCCATTTGTTGCCTCAGCCTGGTCCTCAGACCCTTGTTGGCATAAAAGAGTCCACGAGAAAAGTATCCTTGCAGAGTACTTTCTGCTTTTATTCTTAAAAGTCTTTCTGCAAAAGTGACTGACCAACTGTACATACATCAACACTACCAGCTTTCACTAACCAACCAACCAACTAACCAACCCAACCTAACATTTCTCACTCTATATATACAACCCAGTGCAGGCCGCTGACTCATGCTGACCCAGCTTTTTTAAGCATTAAAGAAACAGTGGCCATTTTAGCTGTGACACCTTCACACTGTCTTGCCCACACTCCTCTCAGCCTGTGCAAGAGCTGTTCGGCTGCCTGGGAGGTGCTTGGTTTAAATGGGCAGGAAGGAACAAGGAGAAGAGAGGTGTAGCCATGTTTGCGTGTGCGAGAGAGAGAAAATGAGTGTGCATGAATAAATGCATGTGTGGATGCTCCCACTCACCACCAGCCCAGTCCCTGCCATCCATTATTTACTACAGAGACAGATTTATCCCCTATACACCTGTAGATCACTCTATTCTGTGGGAAAGTCTCTCCTGCAAGTTCCAAATATCTCAGAAGCCCTCTCTGCAGTTAGTCAGAGCAGAGTTGTCCTATGAACTGGTATGGCCCCTGACTGCCCATCTACTGCCAAATAAGTCTCTCAGGGGCAAAAGGTTGCCCATTCTTATTGTGCACTTACTTGGAAGTATGCTCCATTAAACTCAGTGCTTCCTTCTGAGTAGACACACCAAAGATCACACTGTCAGACAAAGATCTTATAGATCAAGCTCTGGAGTCCCTCACCTCATCTTTCAATAACCCCACAAAGAAGTCTTTGGATATGGGACTCTTGTCCTTGGAAAATAGATGGAACCTATGACCCTACAGATGTTGTAAGGCTCCCATCATCCCTGACCACTTGTCAAGATGGCTGGGGCTAATGATTAGTTTGGATCCCAGTGACACCTACTGACCCACAGGTCCTCTAACCTCTGCTCTGGAACCAAGACCCCAGGAGTTTCTCACAAGTTTTTGTCTTCGGAGTTCACAGAAGGCAAACTAAGAGGACAGTGGAGGAATTGATATATAATGGCGGATGGCTTACTCAGCACTGCTGTAAATAGTTCATGAGCTCACTGAGATTTATTGCCTCCTGTGCTAACGAGTTTGCCTCCTCCGTCTGGGGATTAAAGGCACTGCTGAGTGGACGTGCAGAAATGGCTTTAAATTACCAATCCCAGCTGGACCTCTTTGCGGTGAGGGATGAGTCAGGCCATTTTACTGGGAAAACCCATAGCTATTTATTATTATTATCTCATGACCAGGAAAGACCATACATATGGTTAGAGCCCAACAAAGGGCAGGGAAAGTCCCAGATCAATTTTAGTGATGCTCCCATAAGTCCTTCAGAAACTAGGGTAGAATTGGAGTTTTGGCATTCCATCCCTTTGTCACACTCTGGTGTGACCAAGGTGGACAATCCAGGACTTAATTTTAAATAGCCATAATAATATGCATGAACATAGTACAAGGCCCGAATTCCAGATGCCCCAATCACATTCTATGAAACCAAGTAAACGGGTAGTAATTATCAAGACTGTTGACCCAATGGCAAAACCTGTTCTACCCCATAAACTTTTCAAGTTTATCCCTCATTCCCAAAAGTGTGTTTAGTACATTTCTTTACTTTGCCCCATACACATGCAATGGTTACCATCCAGTTTTCTGGGGGTGGGCATAATGCTGTTTGTGGGTAGATGCTAAGCTGAGCTGAAATTTATTGGATGTTATTTTGCTGACCAAATGTCATCACCCTGAGCACCCTCAGTTACACTGAAACAGAACACTCAGTTCTTCTAATGTCCAGCAGGCCTCATCGCTCGTGATGTATAATGGACCAGTGTCTTCTCAGCGGCCTTTGGATCTCTTTGGATATATTGTGCATCTCTTGGTTCTGTTTTTGGGTGGTGGTTTTATCCTTAGAATCTCTGTGGAATTAATTTCAAAAGATCTTTAAAAACTTCCTAAGTCATTGCAATGTTGCTATAATTTGAAATGAAGTTGTAAGCCACTTTTTTGAAAAAAGGGGGGAAATGGAACACTTTGCAGAAATTTCTCAGAACATCTTCCATCTGGCCACCCCCACAAAATGTCCTTGGGTGACGCTAGTCCCAGAGCACTGTATGGGTTGGAGGAGAGGGCTATTGATGGCTACTAGGCATTGCTCTGCCTCCACAGCTGGAGGCAGAAATGCTTCTGAATACCAGTTGCTGGAAACCATAGGAGGGGAGAGGGCTCTTGTGCTCGAATCCTGCTTGTGGGTTTCACACAGGCATCCGCTTGGCTACAGTGAGAACAGCATGCTGGATCAGATGGGCCATTGGCCTGATCCAGCAATGCTTTTATTATGTTCTTATGCAAAATGTTGACCAGTTCTGCTTATTCTTGCCATTTTCAGTGACCAATAAAATGCTAGGGGACAGAGAACGAAAGTATATGTGCTAACTGTGGGCACCACCCCTGAGAAATCTCTGAGGTACTTATACTCCCCTTGGAGAATTTTTTGGGAAATTACACCCCCTATTTAGCTATCCACAAAGGTTGGAGAAATTCAAGAGTCTATTTACACACAGCTCGGCGGGGTGTAGGGATGCATGGATGGGAACTTATCCTTTCTCTGCCTCCTGACAGCGAGTGACCCAGTTTTGACTAAGAATTCCTCAAATGAGCACAATGCCCCTCTATGTTTAGAGCACACATTGGAACCTATTGCACAGACCCAGGGTGCCTGCAAAGTCTATGTCTCCCCCTCTCCCTAAGGAACAATGGTGGGCATCTCACTGGCGGCAATCACCAGAGCAGATCCCTGCCACTGCCACCCTCACTAAAGGTTAGCCCAGCTATAAAAAGTGCAAAACATTCCATACACAATTCACAATCCCCCGAGCCACTGAGCTTTATTATCTGCCTTCACTTTTTCATAGGGTGATATTTCCACCTGTAGGAACCATCAAGTCCAGCAGCCCACAGTAATATATGGAGTAATAGAGTCTGGGCACTGCAAGCTTAATCTTGTTTTCCTGAAGCCCCGGGTGTCCTCAGCAAAGCCAAGTTTGTCATTAGGAATTCCTTTCGCCTGATGGTAAGCTAGTTTTGTTTAGGGTTGTTATTTTTATCCTCCCTTCCAAAAGGAACAGAAGCTCTTGAGATTGATTTATGACTTCCTTGATTCTTTTATGCAAACTGGCAAACCTTCAACAGAATAAGTGAATGAAAGGGAGGAGGAGGAGAATAATAATTATTAGCGCTGACCAGCAAAACTTTGTCACTGTTCCCTACACTG